GATGGTGGTCTTGGCAGTCCCTCTTGATGACTCAGTCTATAGCTGTGGTTCCAGTAAGAACTAAAGAATGTTTCACACCTCCTGCTTATGAACCCAAATACAAAACAGAAAAGGAGTTTATAGAACATGCCCGGAAAGCAGGATTGGTTATTCCCCCAGAACGTTTTGGACCGGCCCATACATGTGGCCTGTACAGCTGGTATCTTTGATGCTTATGTTCCTCCTGAGGGTGATGCTCAAATGTCATCTCTTTCACAGGAAGGACCAAAAGAGAGAACTGAGAAATTGAAGAAAAATGCAGCACCACAATTGTCAATCCGGAAGACAAAAGAATTTGATGCTAATTTTAAAACAGAGGCCTTCCCTGAAAAAGCTAAGGATTTCTTCATAGAAGCTCACCTTTGTCCAAACAACTTAGAATATGACCAGCTTCACACTTTGGTAACTGAACACTGTTTTCCGGATATGGTCTGGGACATCCAGTATAAGACTGTTTGCTGGGGACATCCTAGGAAAGTGGACAGGGGGAGAAATAGTGATTCCCCCAGGTACCTTCTTGCTGGGCATGGTTTGGGGGTAGCTTTGTTCCTCTAATAATGGTGGTGGTTCCTTTCTGCTGACCCTTTCTTTTATAGCCATGGCTCCTTTTGGAGGCTGTGAAGGCCGCTCTTACCCCTGTAGACACAGGAGATAAAACTGCCACTACTGCTGCTCACTGGGTGCTTCACCATTGCTCATTGGTCCCTAAGCCTGTTCCCATTTCCATGAATAGTACCTTTCCTCAAGTTCTCTTTCAATGGGCCCTCTGATGGCCACCAGGAGCCTGCTTGCCTCATGGATATATGAAGGTCATTATGCTGGGAATATCTTCCCTTGGTGACTAAAGAGCCAAGAGTCCAGTATCTGGATGAGATAGGATCCCCTATGGCACGGAGGGGTCAGTGTGTGCAGGATCTGTGGGCACTGCATATACTATGAGCTGAAATTCAAGAAGCAGAAGTAGGCGGAGGCCTATGCAAAATGGACCATCACAAAACTTTTGATGTTGTGAGAGCTATAGCCCAAACCACTCAAGAAAATATTGTGCTTAGCAAGGCACTGCATAGTATGTCTGTAATTCCAGGGATGTGGGTGGCTCAGTCAGGAGGATTGCAAGTTCAAAGCCAGTTTCAGCAATTTAGCAAGACCCTAAGCAATTTAGAAAGTCCCTGTCTCAAATTAAAAAATAGAAGAGACTGGGGATATGGCTCAGTTGTTAAGCATATTTGGGTTCAATGCCTGCTACTAAAATAATAATGAAAAAAACCCTAACCAAACAAATAAACAATCAAACAACTAAAAGTCATGCTTTAGACATTTGGGAGAGCCTCACATATTTGAATATTTAAAATAAACATTTAAAAAATTGGTAGTTGCTAAGGGACAAATTGCTCTTAGAAAATTTAACTCTCTGTGACCTGATGATTCAGCCTGTTGTTCCTTTGCCAGACTGAGTTATTGGGGAAATTCCCCTGGAAGAATTAGTCTACTCCTGTCAACACCAAATTCTTCTGTCCAAGAGGAGGTGGACTTGTCCTTCTGACTAAGGATATGCTAACATGGGTGCCTGTTCTTTAGACCTTTCTCATGGGGCTCCCTTCTAAGATGAGGCAGTGGTGGGTGTGCTCCACCGGAGTTATCTTCAACTTGCTCCAGACACTTGAAATTGTTCTGTTGCAGGAGATGTTTGACTCAGCCCCTCAGACCAGAATCCATTCCTGGTAAAAGTGTCTCTAGTGAAGGATCCAGCCTCTTCTAGGGTGCAATGTAGGGGCACATGTGTTGCGCTGGGAGCACAGGGGCTGGTTATAGATGGAGCTGGGAAACCAAGGGGCACTAGACCCAGGCCAGAGCTGAAGGGACTGGTGTCCACATCCATTCTTGGAAGTTTGGTTTCTTGCCTTTTCTCCATCAGGCATTTGGAACCTGTATCTTGGCAAAGGGCCCTAGAGCGTCTGCATTGAAGTGGTCAACTTGAGGCAGTGTATTAAAGAGGACAGGGAGGGTGGAACAATCCTGGCCTGTCTGGACTTGGGGGATCAGTCTGTAGGGGAGACTGATTAAAGAGGACAGGGAGGGTCAGCAGTATCTGAGAGGGAGGGGAAAAGCAGCTGTTCAAAGAGGCTGTAGTGGGCAGGCCTCCAGGCAGGCTCCAGTGGACAGAGCCCTGCTGAGGGGCTGAGCTCTGAGGAGGGTCTGTCAGGGCTGGTGAGCTCCTGAGAGGGGATCTCTGACAAGCACACTAGCTGGGGCTTGTGGGGTGGGGTCTGGAAGCGGGTGGGTATCACTTCTCAGGGGAGAGGTAGAGAGGACCACTATGGAGGACCACAACCTCCAAGGAAACAGAAAAGGGGTTTGATGGGTCCAGGGAGCATCCTCATGTGTCCCTCTGCCCCCGTCCCATCAGCTTCCCTGGCTCCCCGACCTCCACCACCCTTGCCCTGGGTGGCCTCTGGAACTGTAACAAGGGCAGCATAGGGTCATCTGGATCTGCTTAAGCTCCACAGTCCCTACCTTCATGGTTCTTCCTAGGTCCTTGGGTCATAGGTATCTACTTGGATAACTTGCAAGTGGAGAATTATTGTAATCCTTTTGTTAACGAGGCCTCTTTCAAATTGTTTAAGCCTTGATCCACCTCTGCCCAAGGTAGGTGGCAGTGATACGTGTGGGGCTGTGGCCTCAGGACCGTGAGGTGCTGTTGCCTATAGCATACTCGTCCCACCCCATGGAAACTGGTCTTAGTTCGGAGCTCTCCCAGCAACTTGGCCTGTGCCATGTGTGATGTGTAAGAGGCCAGGAAAGCTGCTTTCTGTGGAATTCCAGCTAGGTCCAGAGAACCTCCTAGGTCTACTCTAGGACCTGGAATGTGACCTTCTGACCTTGCAGAACCTCCCCTACAGACTGATCCTCAAAATACAGAGAGGACCCAGGATTCTTCCACATGCTGGTGGCCCAGTACTGGGCAACTCTGGAGCATGAGTGAATGATAGTCCACTGACTGGAAAGTCAGGGTGACTACCTGGCTCAATGCAGTTACCTTCTATATTTGTAGAGCCCAGGTACTTTAGAATAGGAAGGGCATTGGTGACCACTACTTATTTTTAAAATATTTTTTGTAGTTGTTGATGGACTTTTTTCTTGTTGTTGTTGTTTCTATGTGGTGCTGAGAATTGAGCTCAGTGCCTCACACATGCTAGGCTAGTGCAGTACCACTGAGCTACAACCCCAGCCAGCCCACCACTGTTGTGTGCCTGACCTCAGGGGATGCCTGAGTCCCCATGTCCCTAGAACTTCCAAAATCCTGACTAGGTTACAGTGGGAACCTTGATTAGCAGACTGGGCAGCCTGGGCAGTTTCACCAGCTGCATACCAGGGTCTGAGCTGGTAGGACCTTGTCTCTGAGCGCTCAGGGCCCTGGCTCAGCTGACTTCTCTTGCTCAGCTTCAGCCCTGATCCCTGTCCTTCTGCTGCACAGGGATCCTAGGACATGGGTGGGGACACTGTGGGGTATCTCACTGCAAAGATGCTTCACCAGCACTGGCATGCCCCACCCAGCCTCTTCCTCTTGCTGCCCTCTCCAGTGACTCACCTGCCCAGCTTCCTACAGGTCAGGTGAGGGTTTGGTGCTCAGTGAGACATCAGAGGCCTGTATAAAAGCACACTGGTTCAGTCCCCAGCATCCGTCTGTCACTGCCTGCTGTTGCACAATGCTGGGACTCCTGGGGCAAATAGCAGCTGACAACCTGGCCCGTCGCACTCAAAAGGCCACTGAGGAAGCCGGTAAGGACCTAGGGCTTCTTTCCCCCTGTGTGGGGTCAGGGCAGGCTTGACTGGGCCTGTCCCAAGCTGATCCCAGGAATCAGGCCAGGCCTTGAGGCCCGCTGAGGGCCCATTGGGAACCCTGGCCTATCACCCCACTAGGAGAGATGGACCTATGGGCTGCAGATGCTGGGGAGGGCAGTTTAGGGTGGAGCCCTCAGAGCCTCATGCCCCAAGCATCCCTCTCTACCTGTGGAGCCTAAACCAGGATCCATGGTAGAAGAGAGGCCAGGCCAGATGAGGCTCCTGGGGACAGGTGAGAAACATAGGTGCTGGGTGGGCAGATGGCAGTTTGGATCTTTTTCTCTGAAGACCTGGGAGACCTTCTGTGTCAAACTGCCTGTTCTCAGTCCCTGCCAGACTGAGGAGCATGGAGGGCCCTGTGTCCTCATCGGGCTTCCTCAGCTCCCTTTCAGGAGCCAGGCCCTTCTGTTCCAGCCTGAATTGGTTGGGGGTGGCATCCTGGAGCTCCACCCTGGGTGTCCAGAGGAGCTGGGAAGGGAAGCAGGCTTGCATGGTGACTTTGTCTCTGAATTCGTCTGAATTTATCTCCATTTTTCAGTTGATGCTGTGGGGGAAGCGGTGAAGGACATGGTGGAGCACACCACTGAGGATGGAGAGCAAGGTACTGAGGGCTGGGGTTGGTGGGTGGGGCAGAGGCAAAGAGGGAAGGAGAGAAGGAAGGAAAGAGGAAAAGAAAAAGAGAAAGTGAGAAGGAGAGAAGGACAGAAGGGAGGGCTGGGAATGTAGCTCAGGGGTAGAGAGCTTGCCTAGCCTGCATGAGGTCTGGGATTCAGTTTTCAGCACTCAGCATGAAACCAAAAAAGATCGAGTCCAGCATATTGTGGCATATGCCTACCATCCCTGCCACTGAGACTGAAGCAAGATGATTGTGAATTTGAGGCTAGCATAGGCAACTTAGGGAGATCCTATTACAACATCAAAGTAAAAGGGGTTGAAGATGTAGCTCAGCTGTAGAATCACCCGTGGTTTAATTCTATTTCTGTAACAACAACAACAACAACAACAAAACCCCAAAAGTTGAAGAGGTGGAGGACAGGATGAAGAAGAAAAGCTAGGTGGGGCCAGTCACTTCTTTGCCCAACAAGATCACCATCCCAACCCGCTTTTTGCATCCTTTCTGTTGGTATGCAATTATCTCTGAATTTGATCATCAGTTCAGACTAATCCTTGTGAAAAGGTTCCACCAAGATAGTCTTCTCTGTAGAATATTAACACCAGGTCACAAAAGACCATGTGGCAGCACACTGGGACAAAACATTTAAGATATAAAATGATAAGCCAGGTGCAGTGTTGCTCATCTGCATTCCCAGCCACATTGGAAGCTAAGTCACAAGGATTGTAAATACAAGGCCAGCCTGGGAAACTTAGTGAGACTGTTTCAAAATAAAACAAAGATGGCTGGGGGTGTAGTTCAGTGGTAGGGCACTTGCCCAGCATGCAGTAAGCCCTGGGTACAATCCACAGTACCACATACACACAAAAGCCACAGATGGAGGCAAAATATTTATAATAGAAATGATAATCTGATCTAACAACCCAATATAAAAGAGAGGAAAAGATACAAATACAAAAATGAAGAATAAATAGCCAGTGTACCCATGAGCAGATACTGAGTCTCATTCAAACTGAACAAAAGCAGGTTGTTGGGGATATAAATTTGTTTTGTGGTACTGAGGACTGAATCCAGGGCCTTGTGCATGCTGGGTCAGCATTCTACCCCTGAGCTACAACCCCAGCCCCAGGAGAACCAGGTTTGAATTTATTCTGCCTCTTCCCCATGGGATGTGTCCAGGGCTTGCTCCTGTCAGACTGCCACAGCCCCCTGCCTCTCAAGGTGACATGCTGAGCACAGCAAGGGGTTCACTCTAACCTTTTCTCTCTTTTTCTTCCTGATAGCCTTTGCTGAAGCCTTAAAGAATGCCCAAGAGTCAGGAGAGAAAGTGGTGAAGGAAGTCACTGAGAGTGTGACCAACATTGTCACAGATGCTGTCACCACACAATAGAGGGCCTGGGCACACCAGGACAGTGAGCCTGTTGGCTATCCTCTATGAATCTCAATAAAAAGCCATGGAATGTGCACCCTGAGTTCTTGATTTTTTGCTCTTTCAATGGGAACACTAGGCAAAGTTTTTGTTTGGGTGCTGGATTCTGAATCCAGGACCTCACACTTGCTGAGCATGCACCCTAGCACTGCAGGGCACCTCTAGTCTCTGACAAGGTATTTTTAGGATTTCTTGTAAGTCCACTGGAGAACACACCAGCATGGCAAGCACCTGCCAGTGGGTCAGGTCATTTTCTAGGATGAGTCAGATGATGCATCCGATGCTTCTGTGGTTTCTCCTGTCAGTAGGCAGCTTCCCTGGCCCTCAACCTGGTACTGGGGATTGAACCCAGTGAAGCTTTGCCACTGAGCTGCATCCCGAATCCTTTACATCTCTTATTTTGAGAAAGGTCTAAATTGCCAGGCTGGACTTGGACTGTGACCATCCTCTTTCAGGAGCCTCTAGAGTAGCTGGGATGACAGATATGTGTCACCTCTGTACCTGAGCAGCATGCTGTTCCATTGTTATCTGCTGATCTCTCCCTCCTTTCTTCTTAATGCATCCACCTCACTCATGCTAACCTGTGTTCCACCATGATCTACCTTTCCATCCTGGGCTCCATGAAAAGACTCTTTCCCCAGAAAGTACGGTTTCCAGATACCTCGATGCTTTAAGGACTCTTAGAGGATGTACCTGAATTCGTCTTGCATGTTCTTTGGATCTTCTCTGAAACGTTCTTTCAGGAATCAAGAAGGTAACAGACCAATCTGATGAGAAGTTTGGCAGGGCAGGCTGCCACTAAGCCGCTTCACGTTCTGCAAGAGGCTCCGACAAGCATTTCTGCTGTATAGAACAGAAGAAGGGTCAAGGAGACCTTGAGTCCACTGCTGATTGGCCCTCACAGCTGCTCTTGCATCTCCACTGGGGCCTTGTGTCAGGTCCATTTGTCAATAGCAAGTCAGTACTGCACAGGTTACACATGTGTAAGTAGCATTGAGCTTAAAAGTTTTGGAATACAAAGAGGAAATGAAGGGTAACAATAGAGCTGGGAGCTGTTTTCTTAGGAATTAGAAGAAATGTACTATGATTAAAGAAAAAATTAGTAGTTACAATATTTCCAGTCTTTTCTAGAGTTGGCGTCACAAATTTCTAATGGCCCTGGAATATCCAAAGTTTCAGCTTCGGAATACCTGCCACTGTCCAGCTAGAGTTGGGCATTGCATCTCAGTTTGGTTCTTGATGACTTTGAACTTCCCCTTTCTAAAACCTAAGCTGAGAGGGCTAAAATTATTGTGGGTGGCCGAGTAAACTGGAACACCTGCTTTGAATGGCAGTTGGTTTTTAGGACTTTCTTTTCAGGTTTTCACAGGCACACACAGGGTCCAAAAGGGCACACACAGATTTGTTGTAGCATGTCTGTAATACTGAGAGGTTGTTAGCCCCTAAAATGCTACTCAGATACCACATGGATGGCAGGTGATGCTGTTTATTAGGTGTGTCACATATAACATGGACTTTTTCCCTATTAATTCTACTGTATTGTAAATTCTGTAGCTTAAAAATTGGGACCCAGGTCCAGATGGCCAGCAAATATTGCATATGTTTGAAATGGAACACTTTGTGGTTATTACAGATGAGAGGAAATGTACATATATCATGAGTCTGTATCAAAGTATCAACAAGTTGTAAAATTTATATGTAGAATAATTTCATTTTCATACTGTAAAAATAATTATAAAGGTAAAAAACTGATACCATACAAAGAACATTTTTTTTACTTCCATCTCTCATTTTCTTTTTGCTATCTGTGCTGTGCAAAGACAGTGCATGAAATCAACTTCCATCAAACTATGCATGTTATAAAAAGCAATATAAAAAGCGAGCGAGATGACAGCAAAAACGGTGGAATAAGGACTGCTAAAAATTTTCTTCTCCAGGAAAGCAATGATAAAACTGTTCTGTATGCAGAGGTCAGCAGCAACCAATGTCCAGACAAGACTGGTGCCCAGGACCCAAACATTGGTGATTTCTTGAAAAGTCTGCTTAAGTATAGCCTTCCATCTCCTTGAAAAACCCGAGGAAATCTTATACCTTTGCAGTTGGCTCTCCAGACAAATTGAAAGTGGTGTGGGGAGGTGGGGATGAGGCTCAGTGCTAGAGCACTTGCCAGGCATGTGTGAGGCCCTGGGTTTGATCCCCAGTACAACAAAAATAAAATATAAAATATAAAAACCTATTGGGCATTATGAGAGTAGGAGGTGGTCACTTGATATGGTCACCTCTCCTTTCTCCTACTTTGGAAATTATCGATTGAACTCTTTGACCATCTTTCTTGTAAACACCTTATGTGAAATGGTGAAAGTCTCATAAACACTGTCTGTAGAAGCCTGTGGGTAAAGTTTTAGTATAGTTGCTTCCAGAGGCCTTCATCTTCCTGTTTGCTTACCATGCTTGATATCATGGTCTGTTTTTAGAATAAATAAAAATAAATAATTAATAAATAAATAAAAATAGGAAAATTTTTAGAATGAAATTAACTCAGTATTTGTGGTTCTCATGTCAAAGCAGCAAGGTGGGACTCTGAGATAGTTTGCTCCCACCATACTCAAACACCTGAGATAACGAACTTATATAAGCATGGAAATGTTGCTCTGACTCATTATTTCAGTACATAGTAACTTGCCTCAGTGCCTTTGGGCCTGTGGTAAGGAAGGACATCATGGTGAGTGCAGGCAGTGGGGGGAACTGCACTGCAATGCAGCCTGGAGGCAAAGAGCAAAGGGCTGGGGGCCAGTGATCCCCAGTGACCTACCTTCGTTCCACTAGGCCCCATTGCCTAATGTCCCACCATGTCCCAAGAGTCCCATAGGCTGGGGACCAAGCCTTCATCCCATAGGTCTCTGGGGACATTCAACATCCTAGATATAGCACACTCACAAGTTCAGATTCAGCTCAGTGGAGCTCTAAAGTGCTTACTTCATCTGTCCATGAAGTTGTGTTAATGTTGTTTTATTGTGGTGGATGTATATTTCTCCAAGGCTCACTTCTGATCCTGTGAAAACTCAATAAATAGATAGATAGGTAGGTAGGTAGATAGATAGATAGATAAATGCTGGGGACATAGCTCAGTTGTTACAATGCTTGCCTTGCATGGACAAAGCCCTGGGTTCAGTCCTAGGGAGCACTAAACCACCCCCTGTCTCACACAAACACACAGGAAAAAAAACCCCACACACAAAGAAATAAACAAAACAAAAACCCCCTACAACTATAACACTCTTAGAAGAAAACAGGCAAAACTTTATGATGCTTGATTTGACAATCATCTGACACCAAAAGCACAGGCAAAAATTGAATATAGGTAAACTGCACTGCATCAAATTTAAAAACTTCTTTGCATCAAAAAACACAATCAACAAAGTGAAAACTTAAGCTGAGAAAATATTTTCAAGTTGTTTATATTTGCTCAGAGATGAACATTCATAATGTATAAAGAACTCCTACATTTCCACAATAAAGTAACCCAATTACAAACAAGTAAAGTCACTAGGCGTGGTGGTGTATGCCTGTAATCCCAGAGACTCATGAGGCTGAGGCAGGAGGATCCCACTTCCACAACTTTGCACTTTAATTCCATCCACCCATCTTCTACCCTTTCTTGCTGCATGCACACTAGGACTTTTGTTTTAATTTAAAAAACAAAGCAAGTGACTATGCAACACTTTCCAGTTCTGGGAAGATTTGGAGGAAAACAGTGTCCTTCTTTTGTCCAGGAACTGGAGGCCTCCCCACCACCTCCTCTCTAGGGTCTTCTGCTGCCTGACAGCAGGTGGCAGTGTTTCCTTCCTGACTCCCTCCTTTATCTAGCTGTGGGTGGCCACCTTTCTCCAGGCTTTGACCTCTGCCATCCTCACCCCAGAGTGGCGCCCAATTGCATGCTCAGGTCCTTGTGGCTAACTGTCCCCAAAAGGAGTCCTTTCCAAACCTGCAAAATGAGCCAAGACTGGTTCCTTCCAGCTCAAAGAAAGGTCCATGAAGAGACACCTGGGGCAGTCTGAAGGCAGCACCAGCATCCCCATGGGGACCACACCTGTGAAAGGTGACACCTGATCAGAAGAGAGGGCATGGAGACACACCAGAAGGCTGGGGTGGGGGTGGGGGTCCAAGAGAGCCCTAGAGTCTTTCTGGTGTACATCCTTGCCCTGTGTGACTCAAGGATAAATTCCCATGGGTCTCACACTGGCTGATCCCCTGTTCTTCTGAGCGAGTGCCTTCAGCATGGGTACAGGGCCTAGCTCTGACCTGGGAGGGGAGATTTTCACTCAGAGGGAAACAAGAGACTTCTAGCAACGTTTTTGGTGACCATAAGTATGTAAATAAATAAATAAGACAAGGAAAGAAGCAGCTCCTCCTCTTCCCCTGGGAAGAGATAGAGAGTAAGCTATTGTGTGTGTGTTTGTGTGTGTGTGTGTGTTCCACTTGTGACCTGCACTTCAATCTGCTTTTTTTTGAGGGGGGTGCGGCCAGGGGATTGAACTGAGTGGCACTCTACTATGGAGCTACAGCCCCCACCATTGTCCCTGTTTTGTTGTTGTTGTTTTTTAAATAGTTTTATTTTTTAAAAGTTAATTGTAGATTACAGGAAAAATAAAAACACAAACCAAGAACAAAGTCATCTAATCTCAAGCAACTTAGTTGGATTTGTCCACTAGGTTGTGTATGTATATACACAGGATCCCATTTTGGGTGATTGAGATGGTAGTGTGTATCAAGCTTTTCCACACATCATGAATCTTCACCAATTCAAAATCCTAAAACTACATAGGTATTTTTTGATAACCAAAAATACACTACACCAACTCAATCTGTTATCCTTTCTTGGGGACAAAAATTTCACTGAAGACAGAAATGGCCACAGGCCTCTAGGTAGACATATTGGCAGAGTTACAACTAAAATAATA